TGGGCCGGTAAGATACAATCTAAGTCAAATCCCTTATGAATACACAGAGGAACTATACCAGAAAGATATGGATGGCTCGTACACCCCAGGTAGTGTGGTTGCTGACCTTGAGCCAGACATCCTGGAGAGTGAAGTCAAACGGGCCTTAGAAAGCACTGCAAATAACAAGGCCAGTGGAAGTGATGGTATTCCAGCTGAACTACTTAAAATTTTAAAAGATGATGCTGTTAAGGTGCTACACTCAATATGCCAGCAAGTTTGGAAAACTCAGCAGTGGCCAGAGGATTGGAGAAGATCAGTCTACATCCCAATCCCAAAGAAGGGCAGTGCCAAAGAATGCTCCAACTACCGCACAATTGCACTCATTTCACACGCTAGCAAGGTTATGCTTAAAATTCTACAAGGAAGGCTTAAGCAGTATGTGGATCGAGAACTCCCAGAAGTGCAAGCTGGATTTAGAAGAGGCAGAGGAACCAGAGACCAAATTGCAAACATGCGCTGGATTATGGAGAAAGCTAGAGAGTTCCAGAAAGACATCTACTTCTGCTTCATTGACTATGCAAAAGCCTTTGACTGTGTCGACCACAGCAAACTATGGCAAGTTCTTAAAGAAATGGGAGTGCCTGATCACCTCATCTGTCTCCTGAGAAATCTCTATGTGGGACAAGAAGCTACAGTTAGAACTGGATATGGAACAACTGATTGGTTCAAAATTGGGAAAGGAGTACGACAAGGCTGTATTTTGTCTCCCTGCTTATTTAATTTATATGCAGAATACATCATGCGAAAGGCTGGGCTGGATGAATCCCAAGCTGGAATTAAGATTGCCGGAAGAAATATCAACAACCTCAGATATGCAGATGACACAACCTTGATGGCAGAAAGTGAGGAGGAATTAAAGAACCTTTTAATGAGGGCGAAAGAGGAGAGGGCAAAATATGGTCTGAAGCTCAACACCAAAAATACGAAGATCATGGCCACTGGGCCCATCACCTCCTGGCAAATAGAAGGGGAAGAAATGGAGGCAGTGAGAGATTTCACTTTCTTGGGCTCCATGATCACTGCAGATGGTGACAGCAGTCACGAAATTAAAAGACGCCTGCTCATTGGGAGAAAGATGATGGCAAACCTAGACAGCATCTTAAAAAGCAGAGACATCACCTTGCCGACAAAGGTCTGTATAGTTAAAGCTCTGGTTTTATCAGTAGTGATGTATGGAAGTGAGAGCTGGACCATAAAGAAGGCTGATCGCCGAAGAATTTATGCTTTTGAATTATGGTGCTGGAGGAGACTCTTGAGAGTCCCATGGACTGTAAGAAGATCAAACGCATCCATTCTTAAGGAAATTAGCCCTGAGTGCTCACTGGAAGGACAGATCCTGAAGCTGAGGCTCCAAGACTTTGGCCACATGGTGAGAAGAGAAGACTCCCTGGAAAAGACCCTGATGTTGGGAAAGATGGAGGGCGCAAGGAGAAGGGGACGACAGAGGACGAGATGGTGGGACAGTGTTCTCGAAGCTACCAGCATGAGTTTGACCAAATTGGGGGAGGCAGTGGAAGACAGGAGTGCCTGGCGTGCTCTGGTCCATGGGGTCACGAAGAGTCGGACACGACTAAACGACTAAACAACAACAACAATGGCAAGTAACGAACGGCAAGCGATGGTAAACCCCAAAATCACTTACCCTAGAAAGCAATGGATAAATCTTTCAAGGAAACCGGGTGTGGGGGAACTTTGGCCCTTCAGAGGTTCCCAAACTACAACTCCCATCAGCCCCAGCAAGCATGGCCAGGCGTGAGGATGGGATACATAGTTCAGCGACACCTTGGTGGGCCAAATGATCCTTGCACCAAAGTAAATAAATGCACAAAGCAAAACAAAACACTCCCAAGGGCAGGCACCCCCAAACTCGGCCCTCCAGATGTTTTGGGACTACAATTCCCATCATCCCTGACCACTGGTCCTGTTAGCTAGGGATGATGGGAGTTGTAGTCCCAAAACATCTGGAGGGCCGGGTTTGGGGATGCCTGCCCGAGGCTGACTTCTACACAGAGTAGACCCGGCGAAGTTAATAAATGTGGTTAATTTCAATCTACTCTGAATGGGAGTCCGCTGAATGCAGACCCAATGAGGTTATGGCCTCAGCCTGCGCAGGCCTGAAAGCTAACAACTTTGGGGAGTTTTTTTAATCCCACAGCGGATACATTAGAAAAAAAAATGCTAGTCCATTACTATGATTTAATCCTACGCGGTGACTGGGCAAAGGCTGTTGCACGCGAATATTTCTGTTTTTTAACCCAGCCTTTCGGAAACTTAGAAAAGCAAACAGAGGCTAGATTCAGATGTGCCACACTGAAATGCATGCATGGCTCTCCTTTCTGAAAACCCCGGAAGCGAAAGGCCTTAAGAAACAGCAACACAACTATCGGTTTAGTTTGGACAGACCTGAGGGTGCCGTAAATGTGCTTTCGCAAACAGAAAGGAAGGAGGGGGGAAGACAGGCCTGCCATGCCCATGCTCAAAAGGGGGGACATTTCCCCCCACCCAGATCAAGGATCATTAACTGGTTCCGGGATGCCAGGGTGCCCTCGATTTGCAGGGGGGAAAGTTGCACACATACACATCAGGGTGGCGAAGATTTGGTGTAGGCCTCAAAAGGGGAGACTGGCACTTCCTGGATCGGAGGGAAAGAGCAGAAGAGAGAAGGAAGGAAGACTTTGGGGCAGGGGTCAGCAATCTTTTTCAGCAGGGGGCCGGTCCACTGACCCTCAGACCTTGCGGGGGGCCGGATTATATTTTGGGGGGGAAATATGAACAAATTTCTATGCCCCACAAATAACCCAGAGATGCATTTTAAATAAAAGGACACATTCTACTCATGTAAAAACACGCTGATTCCCGGACCGTTTGTGGGCCAGATTTAGAAGGCGATTGGGCCAGCCCCGGCCCCGCGGGACTTAGTTTGCCTACCCATGCTCTGGGGGGAAAGATAAAGTGATATCCTACAGCGATGAAGCACACTTTGGAGAGGCAAGCCAGGAACCTCTCCCAAACTCTGCGTGGTTATGTGTAAACATGGCTTTAAGGCACAGGATTCTTGGATAAAGCTGTCAGAGAAAGGGCCATTATGGCTGGGACAATGGACCCCATAAACCAGGAGAGAAAAGAGAGAGCTAGCAATGATACAAAGGGTGGAAATTTAAGGGTGGGGGCACCGAATTCTCCCTGTCCTGCCCCCCTCTTCTCCTCCCCACTTTCGCTGAACATTTACTTGAAGGGAGTTCTCGCCCGAGCCCCAAAAAGTGTCCGAAACAAAGTCTATTTCCCCCTCACAGCCCAGAGAGAGGAGGAAAAACAGTCGCCAAGTGGAAATAAAGTGGGTCAGACAAACCCTTTTTTCTGGAAATAAACACATTTCTCTTCCTCTCCAAAACACACATCCTTCAAAAATAAAAAGGTTCAGCTCTACAAAGTACCTTTCAAACTTTTTTATATAGATGCAAAAAGGTTCTGTGGGGGGGGGGGATAAGGTGGGGATTCCTATAAATTGGGGGAAGGGAAGAAAAACCTGGAAACCCCCTTCTGTAATAGGATTCTGGAGGAAACAAGGTTTTTTAATTAAAAAAAAGGAGAACAATTCTTAATTTTCCGAGAGAGAAAAAAGAGAATTACCTCCGGGGTTCTTCCTCCCGCCAGTGAATCCGAATCGTGTGCAATGTGGGGTGGATGGAAGTGTGGGTCGATCCTGGCTGCCCCCACACCCACAAAAAAAAAAATCCCTGGATGGAAATTAGTCATAGGGAAGGGGGGAGCGAGGGAGGGGCGCCCCGTGCAAAGGATCCGCCCCATTGCCAAATAACAGTTTAGCCATTCAAAGCCCCGTGCGCGGAGCTCCGAGGCCCCGATCCCGCGCGCCTTTACTTGCGAGTAAGCGCCGTTAGGCCCCTTCCTTCCGAGCAGACTCGCCCTTTCCTCCGGATCCTGGAGCTCCAGGGCTTCCTGATGCAGGGCCGCTGAGCCCGCTTACTCCCGAGTAAGCGCGCTCCTGGAGTCCCGCGTCAAAGCGGCCGGCGGCCCGCAAGGCTTCGCCGGGAGTTGAGTCCCCCCTTTCCAAAACGCAGAGCAAGCCAGGGTTACTCTAGAGTAAAGGCCGCGCCCGATCCGGTGCAAAAACACTCTTTTAAAAGCTCGAATTCCCGGTAAGAGGAGCAGATGCGCTGTGCCGTAAGGAGGTGCAGACGCCCCGCGATTAATGCGTGCGCCCTTGATGGCGATGGGTCTACTCCCAGTATATCTGGATTGCAAACAGAGCTTTTGCCATGCCTGCTCGGAAGCAAGCCCCGTTGGCTGCCATTGAGCCTTACTCCCGAGTAAGCGGCGTGGGGATCGCAGGCTGCCTCGGCCCCGATCCGAAACCAGACACCCCCCAAAAAAGAAACAACACTCCATGAAATCAATGGAGCCGAGTCTCCTCGGTGCGTAATACATACTGGAAAGTGCCCAGGAGTAATTTTCCTTTAAACCGGGAGTGGCGAGGGCGCGCGGGAGGGAGATATCGATCCGGTTTATAGTCTGTTTACATGACGGAAGAGAGAAAGAGGGAGAAGAGTTGGGGCGAGGAAAGGGGAATAAATGAGGGTGTGTTCCCCCCCCAAAAAAAAACCTCACCCTCCCAAACAAAAAACAGACACAAACTCCCCCAAAGAATTAGGGACCAACTCGCCTTTGGCGCAGCGCAGCCGAAATGGGAAGGCGCAAAGCGGAGCCTCGCCTGGAGCCACAAAGTTACTCATGACACAACCCTCCTTCCGCTCACAGTTTCCTGAACCCGGAGCAAGGGAGGGGAGGCAGGATTGCAAAGAGAGAGGAGGTTTTTTTTTGGAGGGGGGGTTTGAAGAGAAGCTCGTGGGAGGAAAGCAAAGTGGGGGGGAAGAAGGAGAGGAAAACCCAACTTGTTGCAAAGCATCGGGGCGCACGGACAAGACGAGGGATCCACTCACGTTTTGCACCAGGAAGTCTAGCAGATCTCTGCGGAATCTCCAATTCTCTCTTTTTTCTTTCGGGGGGGGGGGTTGCCTGGTTTAAAATAAAAAATTGGGGGGTGGGAGGTGAGGTTAGGGGGCGCGATCTCTCTTTCGCTCCTGCTCCTCCCCTTTGATCCAAAGCGCGCGGTGGGGGGGGGGCTGCTGCTGCTGATGGGAAGGGGCAGAAAATAAATAAATAAAAAGTAAAAAGCAGCCTTCCTTTTTTGGGGGGGGTGCGCGCACGTAGGGGGGGCCCGGGGAGTTGTTGGAGAAATGACGTCGCCCCGGGACGGATCAGGTTAGCAGCCCCGCTGAGCCACTGGCAACATTAATTCGATATCGCAAAAAAAAAAAAACCACCACTTTTTTTTTGGGGGGGGGAAATAGCCAAGCCTTAGCAATCGAGGGCAGAGCCTGGCACGGCGCGTCCCCGCGCCGCCCCTCCCCCTCCATCCATCTCTCTGGCCATCCACTGACTCACCCACTTTGCTGGCGGGGGAGGGCGCGCGGGGGGGGGTGTTGTCCCACTTTGGAGGAGGGGGGAGGGAGGGGCCTGCCCGTCACTCGGAGGGTGGGTCTCTCTCTCTTTCCGGATTCCGGATAGAGCCCCTCCTACCCAAGGGAGGGCTCTTCTCTCTTTTTCCCTCCCCCCCCCGCACTTTTCTTTCTTTCTTTTTTCTTTCTTTTTGCAAAAAAAAGGAGCTTCTCTCTATTTCTCTTCTGGACTCACCAGTTTTGCAAAAGAGAGGATGGAGCTGGAAGGAAATTGGGGGGAGGGAGAGAGAAATGGGGAGGGGGACCCCAATTTTCCCCATCACTCCCCCCTTTTCTTTCTTTCTTTCTTTCTTTCTTTCTTTCTTTCTTTCTTTCTTTCTTTCTTTCTTTTGCAAAAAAAAAAAAGGAGCTTCTCTCTTTTCCTCTTCTGGACTCACCAGTTTTGCAAAAGAGAGGATGGAGCTGGAAAGAAATTGGGGGGAGGGAGAGAGAAATGGGGAGGGGAAACCCCAATTTTCCCCATCTTCCCCCCTTTTTCTTTCTTTCTTTCTTTCTTTTTGCAAAAAAAGGAGCTTCTCTCTTTTCCTCTTCTGGACTCACCAGTTTTGCAAAAAAGAGGATGGAGGTGGAAAGAAATTGGAGGGAGGGTGAAGGGAAATGGGGAGGGGGACCCCAATTTTCCCCATCGCTCCCCTACCCTCTCGCCCACGTGGCTAAGGAGACCCCAGGTTGGACTTGCCGCTCCAGAGGATAAGCAGCTTGGCGCCGGAGTCAGAGCGTTGGTCCATGTAGATCAGCGTTGTCGGCACTGGCCGGCAGCAGCTCATGGGGGGGGGAGAAGTTGGGGAGGGGGGCAAAGCTCACCCCACCCGGTGCCTAAGCTGCCCCAGGTTGAGTGACGCTTCAGAGGAGTGGCGGACGAAGCGGACTTTTTGAGTGTGTTGGTGCATAGGGCGCAGCGGTGCTTGCACGGGCTGGCAGTATCTCTCATAGGGGGGGCAGAAAAAGAAGGGGGCAACACCCGATTCCCCCTCCCTTCACTCTGCTGCTTCAAGGAAGATGAGTCACAGCATTGCTTCACCTAGTTCAGCGAGGTCGACACTGGCTGCCAGCAGCTCTCCAAAGTTTCCGGCAAAAGGGACTTTCAACCAGCTGAACCCAGGACCTTGGGCAGGCAAGACTGAGACTCTGCCGCACCCGAAGATGACTCGGAAACTGCAATTAATCCAGAATGCGGCAGCCAGACTGGTGACTGGGAGTGGCCGCTGAGACCACATAACACCGGTCCTGAAAGATCTTCACTGGCTCCCAGTACAGTGGTACCTTGGGTTACATACGCTTCAGGTTACATACGCTTCATGTTACAGACTCTGCTAACCCAGAAATAGCACCTTGGGTTAAAAACTTTGCTTCAGGATGAGAACAGAAATCGTGCTCCGGCGGCGCAGCTGCAGCAGGAGGCCCCATTAGCTAAAGTGGTGCTTCAGGTTAAGAACAGTTTCAGGTTAAGAACAGACCTCTGGAACGAATTAAGTACTTAACCCGAGGTACCACTGTACGTTTCCAAGCACAATTCAAAGTGTTGGTGCTGACCTTGAAAGCCCTAAACCAGGCATAGGCAAACTGGGCCCTCCAGATGTTTTGGGACTACAACTCCCATCATCCCTAGCTAACAGGACCAGTAGTCAGGGATGATGGGAGTTGTAGTCCCAAAACATCTGGAGGGCCCAGTTTGCCTATGCCTGTCCTAAACAGCCTCGGCTTAGTAGACCTGAAGGAGTGTCTCCACCCCCATCATTCTGCCCGGACACTGAGGTCCAGCTCCGGTTCCCTGCCTGCAAGAAGTGAGGTTACAGGGAAACAGGCAGAGGGCCTTCTCGGTGGTGGCGCCTGCCCTGTGGAATGCCCTCCCATCAGATGTCAAGGCAATAAACAACTATTTTACTTTTTGACAACTGAAGGCAGCCCTGTTTAGGGAAGTTTTTAATGTCTGGTGCTGTATTGTTTTTAATATTCTGTTGGAAGCCACCCAGAGTGGCTGGGGAAACCCAGCCAGATGGGCGGGGTATAAATTATTAATAATAATAATAATAATAATAATAATAATAATAATAATAATAACATAAAGCACGAGGCTAGTCCTCATTGTGCACCCAGTGAGTTGTGTTACGTGACTGACAGCAGCAAAAACAAACGGCCTGATGAAACAGTACAAACATCGTCAGACCAGGATCTCGTATGGAGACCCTGTTGGGGATTATTGCTGTGAAACTCACAGACTCATTTTGTTGTTGTTTTGTTAGCAGAAAGTTAGCAGGCTCCGGAAATTTTACAACATCCGTGTGGCAAATTGTGAAATGAAGATCCTCTGCCCAGTTCTGGTTCATATTTCCAGTAAGTAATTTTGGGGAGGACGTGTTTCTGAAAAGGGGCTTTAAAGTATTGCAAATACTGTACAGAAGAAATAATGTAAATAAAGAAATAATCTAAAGGTGTTTGCTTCCATGCTGTTTTTATTTCCTGCTGTCCCACAGCGCCACCTGGTGGCACACTCTGCTTGTCTCTCCTCTTCATCAGCAGGGAATTGTAGTGCTCTGAGCAGAAATCTCTCTCAGCACTCCCGAAAACTACAGTACCCAGAAGCTCTCAGCAATCTGAACCGCACCCTGTTTCTTCTTCTGCTTGGTGTAGTGTCTGACCAGGAGCTTGCAGACCAGGGTTCAAAACCCTGCTCAGGCATGAAGCTTGCTGGATGTGTGACCTTGGGCTAGTCACAGTTGTTGTTGTTTAGTCGTTTAGTCGTGTCCGCCTCTTTGTGACCCCCTGGACCAGAGCACGCCAGGCCCTCCTGTCTTCCACTGCCTCCCGCAGTTTGGTCAAACTCATGCTGGTAGCTTCAAGAGCACTGTTCCACCATCTCGTCCTCTGTCGTCCCCTTCTCCTTGTGCCCTCCATCTTTCCCAACATCAGAGTCTTTTTCCAGGGAGTCTTTTCTTCTCATGAGGTGGCCAAAGTCTTGGAGCCTCAGCTTCACGATCTGTCCTTCCAGTGAGCACTCAGGGCTGATTTCCTTCCGAATGGATTGGTCTGATGTTCTTGCAGTCCATGGGACTCTCCAGAGTCTCCTCCAGCACCAGAATTCAAAAGCATCCGTTCTTCGGCAATCAGCCTTCTTGATGGTCCAGCTCTCACTTCTGGGAAAACCATAGCTTTAACTATAAGCACCTTTGTTGGCAAGGCGATGTCTCTGCTTTTTAAGATGCTGTCTAGGTTTGTCATTGCTTTTCTCCCAAGAAGCAAGCGTCTTTTAATTTCGTGACTGCTGTCACACTGACCTCTCCTTAATGGATCACTGCCTTGCCATGGCGAAGGGGCTTGAATAACTCAGAGAAGCGATGAGCTATGCCGTGCAGGGCCACCCAAGATGAACAGGTCATAGTGGAGAGTTTTGACCAAACGTGATCCACCTGGAGCAGGAACCGGCAAGCCACTCCTGTATCCCTGCCAAGAAAACTCCATGGACAAAGACAACAGGCATATAAAAGTTATGACGCTGGAAGATGAGCCCCTCAGGTTGGAAGGCGTCCAACATGCTACTGAGGAAGAGCGGAGGACAAGTACAAGTAGATTCAGAGCTGATGAAGCGGCTGGGCCAAAGCCGAAAGGACGCTCAGTTGCGGATATGCCTGGAAGCGAAAGGAAAGTCCAATGCTGTAAAGAAAAATATTGCATAGGAACCTGGAATGGAAGAACCATGAACCTGGGTAAGTTGGATGTAGTCAAAAATGAGATGGCGAGAATAAATATTGACAACCTGGGCATCAGTGAACTAAAATGGACGGGAATGGGCGAATTCAGTTCGGATGACCATCATATCTACTACAGTGGTGCCTCGCAAGACGAAAATAATCCGTTCCGCGAGTCTCTTCGTCTAGCGGTTTTTTCGTCTTGCGAAGCAACCCTATTAGAGGCTTAGCGGATTAGCGCTATTAGCGGTTTAGCGTCTTAGCAGCTATTAAAGGCTTAGCGGCTTAGCGGCTAAAAGGCTATTAGTGGCTTAGCGGCTTAGAAAAAGGGGGGGGGTTGGAAAAAATCGCAAGACTCGCAAGACGTTTTTGTCTTGCAAAGCAAGCCCATAGGGAAAATCGTCTTGCAAAGCAACTAAAAAATGGAAAACCCTTTCGTCTAGCGGGTTTTTCGTCTTGCGAGGCATTCGTCTTGCAGGGCACCACTGTACTGTGGGCAAGACTCCCGCAAAAGAAATGGAGTGTCACAGTATCTCAGCCTTAACCTACCTCTCAGGGTTGTTGTGTAGATGAAATGAGGAACAGAGGGAAAGGAAAGAGAACCACCTATGTCACCCTGAGCTCCTGGGAAGAAAAGTTGAGATATCAGTGTAATCGACGTCTTTTCCTTTTAACAGAAGAATTAGGGCCATTTCCTCCAAACAGTGATGGGTGTCTCATTCCAAAACCCAGAGAGAATTCTTTTTCCCCCCTCCTGCCAATAAATTTTATTAAAGTTGGAAAGAAATATATAAAGATAAAAAGAGAAACAAATATAAATAATTTTTAAAAGATGCAAAGATAAAAAAACTAATTAAAAACACAAACCAAAAGGAGGAAGAAAAGAAAGAAAGAAAAAGAGAGACCTTCTGATTCTATAAATATAGCTCTCTATACGCAGAGAAGTATG